CAATTTCTGTACAACCTCACGGTTGATTCCATCTTCTGATGCTCGCACAACCTCCTTGTTTAGCTTACTTACAACAGCCCTCTCATTCATTTCAGCTCCGACTTTCAAGACAGTAGCAACATGCACGAGATTATGCAATTTTTCCATCTTCTGCAGCAGTTTTACACACCATTAACACCCTTGGTTCCACATGATGTGACTCAGTTAAAGTTCCGGAAAGACTTACAATTGCTATTACACAAGACTTTCTCAATTATGAACTATTCACGTTATGGCAGAAATGCCATGTTAATTGCCAACAAGTTACACGCAGGATAGGGATTATGCCTAGGAGCTTGACACAATGTGTACAACACTTAAATCTTCAGATAAGAGATTTTACAATGAGAAATCAAATTATATATAAAAAAACTGAAATCCAGGCAATTAATTGGCAAAATATTTACCATGTAAACTCACTACCAATTAATAAGCATTAGTCATATGATCATATTCACTAACATATAAACATATTCATTAAGCATTAGACACATAAACTCACTAACAATTAACATATCTATTGGGAAGTAAATCAAGAATAACTGAAATTTAGAAAAGGGTCTAGTCTGAAGCAAACCTAACAATAAAAATTTTAATAGAAAACACACAACAGAAATTATGACACCATAATACAAAATATCCAGCTATCCTTTGCTACCATCTTCAGAAATAATAAAAATTATCATACTCTTCATTATAAAATTATTCTGCATTCAGTCACATCAATGCTGAGCATAAAGGGAAAATGAGATAACCAAACGAGAGAGAGAGAGAGAGAGAGAGAGAAAAGATAACAGTAAAGGAAAATGTACAGTTCGTTCATGAAAACTCAGAAAACATTTTATTAGCACAGTTCAATGACATATTATTATTTTAAACCTTCCTGTTTACAATTTAGTACTATGTATGTCAATGAACATCCCAGGCAAAAAGACAATGAAAATCTCTGAAAAACAAATCACTGAATGAAGAATAATTTAAACTTTTGCTGCATATGATATGACTTTCACAGGTAATGTAGAACACGCAAAATTTTCCCAACCTGAGATTTCCACGGGGATGCATTTTCCCCGTCTATTTAACTGTGCAACATGTTCTTTCCCCATTCATGGTTTCATTTTAGCTTTTCTGAGTTTTCTTTTATATTCAGATCTGAGTTAACAGACAGCGTTAATTGTCCATATTTCTGCCAAATATATAAGCATGTTTTGAATCATTTTGCACACTCTTTTCTAAGCTCAAAAGTTTTCTGGCAGGAAGCATTCCGTGAGTGATATAACCTACATTCCTGACAATATTTCCAACACTGATTTCAAGTATACTGAATATAGTTATAACGAAACTAATAAGAACTTCTCGGATTCCTCTGCAGATAGTGATCAATCTGAAGATTCAATTTCTGTTCAAAATGTTCGACAGTGATGCAAAATATTCCACCAGCTTCTGCTTCATTTGGATATCCCGGTGCAACTTTTACTATGGAAAATAATGCAACTGTTTTCGATTATTTTGAACTTTTTTTTTTGCAATCAGGCGATCTTATAATATTACAAGAAAACAACAAATACATTGAATACCAATAAGGTAGTTACTAAAGAAAGATCAATATGGAAAAAATTGAGTGATGAATGAGAAAGAACTTAGATTATTCTTTTCTGTTTTGTTTCTCCAAAGAATTTTTAAAAAGACAAAAGAAGACTATAATTGACTTAAATGTCAAATATTGCAAACATCAACATCAATTTTTTAACAAGTAATTCAGAAAGATAGATTTATTTTTCAGATGAAGTTTCTTCATTTTACAAACAATGAAAAGTTTGATAAAGAAATTACCATAGACAAAATTGACATCATGGGGCATCTTCGAAACCAATTTCAAAATCTTTATATACCAGGTAAAAGTCAGAACATAGAGAAGAGTTTGATGCACTTCAAATGCAGACTTGGCTGGAAAAATGTTATCGCAAAAAAAAAAAAAAGAGCAAGATACGGACTTCAGTCTTTTGTGGTTTGAGAAGCAAAAACTGGACATATTTCAGATTTTCTGATAAACACAGGAATGAAACTGTGTATAACTCTAAATTTACAAATTACCAGTTTCCAGTAAAATTGTTTTGCACTTTATGGATAGATTCCTTGGCAGAGGTTACTGTGTAACTATGGACAAAAACTATATGTCTCTACAATTAGCAGACATATTAGTTTCAGAAAAAAAAGAGACTCATATGGCACAGTAAATACTATCAGGAAAGACCTTCCTTCAAATTATGCAAAGAAGAAAATCCCTAAGGGTAAAGGGGTAAAGTTATCACCCTGAAATAGGAGGACCAAAAGAGCATTTTTCTGATGAGTACAGTTCATGACATAAGTTCCCATATGGTGAAATTCAAGTCAAACAAAACTATCATGAAACCAGTTGTTTGTGATTATAATAACATGATGGCTGGGGTTGGTTTATGTGAACCAAGAAATGGCACAATCTCCCACTCTCGGAAAACATGGGAAATATTACATGAAAATTTTCCGACAATTCATGGATCAATCCTGTGGAAAGCTTATATCCTTTACAAAAAGGATAACCCACTGCAATATATAATGCTTCTAGAGTTCGATTTGCAAATTAGTGTGCTAAGCATTCAGAAGTATTCAGATGGAAATTCCAGTGTTTACTCATGCAGATGTAGTTCAACTCTCAATCCCATGAGACTAACTGCTCGACACTTTGGTAGCCATATACCCCCAATCCCATCAAGAAATAGCCTCATAGACAATGTGCTGTTTGTTGCTGGGGGGGGGGAACTGGTAAAAAAATTCTCAAAGAAATGTGAATTTGATGCAAAGATTGCGAGGTAGGACTTTGCCTTGAGCCTTGTTACAAAGTTTATCACACTAAACTTCATTTCTAATAAATATTTTGTAAGTACTTTCATATTTTCATTGGTATATACATTTTACATTTGTATTTCAGAAAATAAATCACAATTTAACTAAGCTTATTTTTTTAAATTTTCCTTTTATACAATTATTCTTCAATTTCAATTTTCTGACAACTTTTTTTATGATCTAATTCTATATTGGAAAAAAACATTTGTGTGTTTTAATTCTAAAATATAAGTATATTTGAAATATGTAATAAAAAATATGCAATTTTTTAATCTATTTTGACAAAGAAAAAATTATGCAGCAAGAGAGTTAACATTCTGCAATTCTTCCTACAGCAAGAAACGAATAGCATATTAAAAAAAAGAAAGAAAGAAAAGAAAAACGAGGAACTGTCCAAGGCCGTCCTGCAGCAGCAGAGATGCACACTTGTCTTGACCACTTTGATAACCATTCCACAGTCTATTGATGACAATACAATGTACATTGCGCATAAAGAAAAGAGGGCACAGTTCTATATTTTTCGTTCTACTGGGCCGATTGACGAAATTCAAATTGTGTTTTTCCTGTCTCAAAAGTGTGACTCAGGATATATATTAGATTTATATATAGCATTGTTCTAACACAGATATTTTGATTTTTTCATTATACACAGGCGGGGGGGAGGTCATCGTTCATACTTTCAATTAATTTGAAAAAAGTCCATAAACTACATTGGGCGTTATTATCGCTTATGACAAATATGTCAAATTTCAAAATGTGCTATTATGTAAATTCACATATATCTTAGGAAATTTTTAATAAAAAAACTATTTTTTATAGCTATGCTCAGAAATACATATACTTTAAGATAATGTTAAGTTTTATAGGTTATATCTCAAAATGTTTTGAAAAGTATATTCAAACTATTTAAAAATAAATCATAAAAATATGTGAATTATATTAGGATTACGCCTAAATTTAAAATTCTGGAAGAAGGCATCAAGTAAGTTTAATAAAAACTACTCGTATGATTTTTACAAAACTTGACAGTTTGGTATAATTTGAGTTGTAGAATTGGTTTGGTTTGGTTTTATTAGATTATGGCAAAGCACTCGAGGGCTATCCGCCATGAGGGAGGGATGCCTTCGTGGAGGACTTTTTAAGGGGAACTGCTCGTATACATGTTAGACATGGGGAAAACCACGAAAACACCCATGCAGCCAGCCCGTTCGCAGGATTCGATCCTCGGACCAAACTACCAGTGTTCAGCGACGTTACCACTCGGCCGCGAGTTGTAGAATTGAAATAAGAAAAAAGACTGGCATGTCATTTCAGAAAAAGTCAAATTTTGAATCAAAATACCTATATTAGAACAATGATATATATAACTATAATAGATATCCTAAGTCGTGCTTTGAAGACATGCAAAATGCAAGCTGAATTTCGTGAATCGGCCCAGTAAAACAAGAGATATAGAACTATCCTTTTTACGCAGTGTACATTTAGCTCTCACAACAGCAGGTTGTCTTGCACCATACTGCAACATCCCGACAGCCCTCCAATGTATTTCATCATGCATATGGTGTCTTCAGTGTATGCTTTCTGCTTCAGCTATCTCAGATGTTGCTACCAATCTCATTTGTCTGACTAAAGTCAGCACAAGCCCATGGCATTCATTGTGGCAAGGAGTCAAATGTGCCTGTTGTTAGCATGAGCCTTGAACACCATATAGGTGACAGCCCCACTTTAGCTCAGTTTCACCCCCAATTTTGAGATATCCCCCGGGGGATGGGGAAGCTTATTTTAGTTGCCTAATTGCATTCGGTAATGCAACCTCTACCTCATATGAAAATTGTATGCTTTAATTCCCTTTCCTAAGTTAATGTTTAGAGGAAAACTTTTATAATGACTTACAACACTCAATAAGAAACAATAAAAAAACGCAGAAAAATAATCTTTTCTAAAATTCAGGTATGGTGCTATGTGTATGAAAATGGCATACTTCTCCCACACACAATTAAAGAGCTTTAACGCAAACAGCAGAAATAAAATTACATACACACACCAAAAAACATTCTTTACTTATATACACCACTTACATTACTGTGGCTTCTCCTCCTTTCCCGGAAATCTGCAAAAACAAAAGATATGAGAAATTTAATTCTTAAGCAAATTATCATTATTGACTTTCAGAGAACAAAATGTATATTAAACACACAAATGAGAATTTTTAAAACTTTTTTTATCTAACAAGCAGCACTAATGATAAAAATATTGCAATATTTTTATTACATTGAAAGCAATTTCCTTTCAAATACAATATTGAAACAAGTGCAACAATGAAACAGATGACATAATGCAACTATTCATCTACTATAGTTTCACCAGAATCTCAAACAGAAAACACACTAGTGTGCGAAACTTGAGCAACAATGTAAATTTTAATCAGATAGCCATGACATTGTAGAAAAGAAGTTCTTGCGATCAGTACAATGAATATGCAATTCAGTACAAAGGTCATGTGTATGCAAATGTTAGGAAAAAAAATCGACACAGGCTACTACGTCAGCGTGTATAAAACGCATGTGGTCGGAGTGCTCAAGGCTACCATAAAAAGAAAGACGGAGATGCAATTAAAGACATTTGCTGCAAGTAAGTTCTTTTGGGAAATATGGTGAGAAGGAATCACCTGGATGACTTCACACATGGAAGAATTATCGGAAGGTTGGAGGAAGGGTGTAGCGTTACCAGTGTAGCTGAAGAGTTCGGAATTAACAAAAGTGTCGTTTTGCATGCTTGGAAAGCCTTCCAAACCATAGGCACAGCTATTAGAAAGGTTGGTGGTGGCCGCTCCAGGAAGACAACTGCAGCAGATAACCGACATATCATCCTGCAGGCGAAAAGACCACAAAACCAGTCGGCAGGCGTCACAGCTCAGCAACTATGTATAGCAACAGGCAACAAGTGTCATGGTTTAATGTGCCTAGACGCCTTCACAAATGTGGCCTATTTGCCTGTTGTCCTGAACGCAACACCCCTTTGAAAGTTGGACATCAGCACCATCATTCAGAGTGGTGTAAGGAGCACAAAAACTGGACATCTCATCAATAGAGCCATGTCCTCCTTACAAATGAAAATCGTTTGAGTGCCACAAGCAATTCTCAATGCCAATTGATTTGGAGAGAGGTCGGGACACAGTTTCATTTTAGCAACATCACGGAAAGGGACCATTACAGTGTCCTAGAGATCTCACCCAGGGAGGCATTATGCTGAATGGGCAAACAGAGCTCCACATTTTTGACAGTTCGAGGTTCTGTTCTGTTTTGTAGTTCGAGGTTCTGAGACACCATTGCCAGGAGGTGATCCTTCCCCATATGCATCTGTTCCGAAGTGCCATTGGAGCAGATTTCGTTTTTATGGATAACAATGCATGGCCACACTGGACTCCTGCTGTTCAGAAGCTACTGAAAAGTGAAGATATCACTCGAATGGATTGCCCAGCATACTCCCCTGATTTAAATCCCATAGAACATGTGTGGGATGCTATGGGGAGACACCTTGTGGAACGATTACATCCCTTGGGGAACACCCAACAACTGAAGCATGCTGATTGAGGAATGGGCACTCTTACCTCAAGATCTGTTAGTGCTGAGTATGGATAGACGGCACGAAGCAACCTTTGCAGTAAGGGGATAGCATACCCTATACTAAAGAACATCTGCTTGTTGTTCTTTCTCATGTACAGATAATCATAAGTAACAATACTAGGAGTTCAATAAAGTCTGTTTTTGTTTGATTCCCTACAGTACGCATTGTATTCATTTTTGCATAATTATGATTTTGTCATCGTTTAAATATAAAATGCTGTCTCTCATTTCTGAATTTTATGTCTCTCAGATGATTTCTGGTGGAGTTATGCCAAAAACAACACCTGTTGCTTAAGCTTTGCACACAAGTGTAATATGATTTGAATTTTTACTAAATGTACACAGAGATCACAATATAAAGTTTTAATTACCACTGAAAGCATTTTTATTAAGAATTTATAAGTTTTACTTCCTGCCCATGAAAGATGAAATATACAGATTGGATTGGATCACTGCAAAGCACACACATGAAGAATGAACTTGAGAAGAGGTCCTTTCATTTACAAATTTTACCGAAAACTGACTTGCCTTTACTTCTTATACATACGGGAGGGGGGGGATCCCATATTATGTGCTCCTACAGCCACTAGAAACAGAGCTCTGTTGCTGTTTTGAGACTTCAGCAACTTAGTCAAAGGCTGTTCTAAAATACATTTTTCTTAAAAGTAAAAGCAAATATTTATGACATAGTTATCTGCATTAGTTATACCAGTACAAAAGTAAAGCTGATACGTCACTTTTTTATTAGTGCCATTAGCCTAGAATTACCAAAAAGCTAACAAATCTTTTTACAAGCCATCAA